ATAATTAGGTCACACAAACTTGGTCATAATGTGAAATGTACACCCTTCACCAAGTCTCAGCAATAACTCGTTATGTATAATTAGGTCACACAAACTTGGTCATAATGTGAAATGTACACCCTTCACCAAGTCTCAGTCATAACTCGTTATGTATAATTAGGTCACACAAACTTGGCCATAATGTGAAATGTACACCTTTCACCAAGTCTCAGTCATAACATGTTATGTATAACCATTAAAACTGTGTGGGGGGGGGGGACATCAGCATTAAATAAATCAATAGAAAATGAACTGATAGATATTTCTGATAAAAATGGATAAATAATAGATGTATTTCACGTTTTCTAGAAATTGCCATCACATCTTGTTAGGTACAACCTGATTAAGTAGACATTGGATGATCATCTTCAAACCTTTCGCTAACTGTTTTGCAGTGTAGGGTTTCCCCAGCGGTGGAACATGTACAAAGGCTGCACATGAACAGTCTTGGCTGAGTGATAAATAATAAGAAAAGTCACACAGGTATCTACAGAGAAGGGAAACATTGAGTTATTAGTAAAAAAAATATAAACTCTTGAAACGCATTTCACAGAATTCTATTACAATATTCTCATGTCGTCTTAAATTAATTTTGTTTACAGGATAGACTTGATCCAATGTTATGAAAACAAGGACCACAATGAAACCTCAATCAAATTTGTGATTGGCCGAGGAGCACCAATATATCCATACATGTGTGACTATGATTTTTTACTCATAGCCCCCATCACCCCCCCCCCCCCATGTTAGAATGTATATGTTTTCATTCTTGTGTATCTTGGCCATGATTCATGTCACAAATTACTTATTGACATTTACCTGCCAGCATCTTTTGATGTCACTACTTGTATGCCACAGTTGGTTTGGTTGATGTGTTCACAGACGGCACCCATGTCTAGCCGGCTGATAATACAGTCAGGTCCACCATCTATGCAACACTAAATGATAAAGAATGTTTTGTTGAAAAAATGCAATACTGGAATATTTTAGGGATAGCTGATTAAGATAAAATTAAATGAGGTACACTAAATATGAATTTGGTATACATTTCACATTCTTTATGATTTTCATAACACAATAAAACACTCACCCCTGTATCGGGCGTTTTCATTTTGATATCCCGTTGTACATATCCTGTGTTGTGAGCGAGTTCTTCTAACGTAATGGCTTCTGCTATCCCTGACACGCCTACATGTATCAACAACTGCAGATGATAAAATCATCAAAGTAAGTGTAATATACTAAATATCTCATGATTCTCTGCTCAACATATTGATATATCATTAATCAATTTAAAATAATATTTGAAGTTGTCTAAAATGCACCACTTTTAAGGAATTCAAAATGTAGGTACACTTTCATGTTTAAGTTTTACATATTTTGTATTTACTTTATTAGAAACAGGTATAAATTAAAATTTGTATTTATTATATGTTGGATTATCAATATTTTAATCACAGATACAACTCTGTCATTTACATTGATGCCAAAAGAGCAAATACAATACTGCAGCTAGAACCAAGAAAAAACTTAAAGGAATGAACATCAATATTCTGTTATACTCAGGGTGAACAGACAGGCATTTTCACTGCCTTGCAACCATCACAATGAAAATAAAGGCCAAAAACTTTCAGAAAACGGTACTTTGGGATGGTTGTTGAGACTCCTTTGAACAGTGCAACAAGATTACCCATGCATGTCCAACATATATAAATTTGGTTGTCCAGGATTACTTCAAAGTTGATTTTGTGCTGTTTGATTGAATTTAACTATTTTCACCAGCTCTTCGATCGGCATTCCATACCAGCTTGCACAGAACCCATAGACATAAACGGTACAGTAGTGTGCGTCTTGTAATGTAGCTCTGCCCTGAGGATAGTCACATGTATCAACATACCAAGTCATGTGACACTACACAAAGCATTATTATATATAATTTGATGTTAAATCACATATGCTTACTATTGGTTGATGTTGTTTCCATAGAGACGGGACAATTTCTTGAATGTCTTCATAGATCACCGGCATTTCTTCGGTTACTAAGGAGACATCATCACCAAGATTAAGCTTTTTGAGTTCTTGTACCGCCACTGAACTTGCATTAACTTTGTGTTCACCAAATGGTCCAAAACCTAAAATATAACTTGCATTAACTTTGTGTTCACCAAATGGTCCAAAACCTAAAATATAACTTGCATTACTTTGTGTTCACCAAATGGTCCAAAACCTAAAATATAACTTGCATTAACTTTGTGTTCACCAAATGGTCCAAAACCTAAAATATAACTTGCATTAACTTTGTGTTCACCAAATGGTCCAAAACCTAAAATATAACTT